TATTATACTAAGTTACACACTTAAAATGTTGTCCTACATTTCAGATAAATTATCTCTTTGCAAATAGATCTGAATATTTGCCAGTAAAAATATTATATCTAACTCAATAGATCAATCACTTAATAACATTTAAAAATCTCTGATTTGACCCCCTTTGCCATATCTACCATGACCCCCAGTCCCTGCCTCTCTTGAAGGCTATCAGCTTGTTTGCTACCTTACTGCTGAATGTTTACCTAACTCTACCTTTGTTTGACAGGAGACCTACACTGAGATTGCGGGCATACAGCGCTTTGGTGCTTTTTATATGGATTATCTCTACACAATGGAGAACAGCAGTGGCAAAGGTATTGTCTAATTCATTCCTCCTCACAGAGCTTGTTTGCTCACCTAACCACCTTACCTTTTCTTTATATCCATCTTGTTCTCCTGTTCTCTGACTTGTTCTCTCTTTTTTGCTGTCTACCTATTCTCTCGCTCGCTCGCTCTCTATTATTTCTCTCACTCTTCTCTTCTCTCCTCTCTGTCAAACAAGCCCCCTGGAGACTTGAAGAAAGAGCTTGTCTTGTTTGAGTCACAGCCACCTGGTCCTTGACCCTTCCTGTCCTCACACTCACCCCAAACTTACCTGGAGGGCAACTGTCAGAAGTGTTTAGTCTGTGCTGACACGTATTTGAGTTTCTTTCTCCCCAGTGCTTGTTGAAACACTGTTTCTGCTTGTCTCTTTTACCTGTAAGCTCTTAAGAAAGTGAATAGGCTCCTTTTGCCTAATTAGGTGTCACTCTTCCCGGTAGGGACCTTAAGACGGCAGGATTTCTCATTCCAAGCAGCAGCACTCAAGAATGTTTATTCAAGACTAAAAGATCTGAAGTTCCCATTAAGAGATAAAACATTCTCTCTGCAGTTTGAAATGTTAGATTTGGCCCACTAATGTCTCTGCGCTTTAGTGTGGTTGAGCATTTCATGCTGCTGCTCTTAATGGGACCCTGTATTGTGTCTAATTGCAAAAGTGTAACAGGATAGCTTATGGTTCATGGATGTTATGCAAATATGGTGTTAGATAACCATGCTTCCCAAAGTGTATATCAACAGGTAGTGATGATTAACTTGGGTAGAAGTGTCTGATGACACAGACATCCTTTCCAAATAATACAAAAAGGGGGAAATGTTTGAACCTATTCAATAAAATGAACAGAAAATTAAATTTATAAGTCTAGTCACCTGTGTTGTTTCACCTGCCTTCATCTTTCTTTCATTTTGCTTCTCACTGCCTGTCCCCCTTTCTGACTAGGCTATTGTTTCCTCCTGCTTTCAGCTCTAGATAATAATCTAAATTAAAAACAACATCGATACTGTCATACTGAGATGTCAATGTCATTTCTGACAGCAGGATAAGTGTCAGTCTCTTCGCTTGCAGGAGGACGGTTGTGGTTACCCTTGACAATTGGAATGCTTGTCTTCTGTCAGTGTTTCTCTTCGTCTAGGATGTGGACCAGATTCCTGGAGAACTAAAGAAATTATTCTCTATTGCCAAAAAAAACCTTAATCCGAGACAGTGACAAAACTAACTGACACCTGATCACTCTTACCATTGACTTCATATTAGGGTAAAACTACGGATAACTTCACTAATCTCGGGATGTTAATTGCCTCAGTTCTAGATAATTTCAGCCTCTTTCCATCGTCCCACTGATCATTCTAACTGCAGCCATGTGGTTGATATTAGGCCTAATCCACTACAGCCCAATCTCACTGAAGAAGGGAAGGGGAAGTGGCTTTGCCCGTTGCCCTTTATAAATCTCCAAATTTCAGGGGGAGTTCCACCCCATCCTCCAGGTCTTTCAGCTTAAAACATTAAATTCATAGTGTTGACTCTCGTAGTTGTACGACTGTTTAGTGCAGTTGTGGAATGTAATGGAAATAAAGCAAGTTTTGACCCTTTGTCCTCTTCCTCTCTTACTGCCATTCATCCACCCCCTTCTTTTATTTGTAATTTCTCCTTTTTATTGCCGGGGAGCTAAGTCTTTTAAGTGGACCCCTGGAACAGGGGCCTGCGATGAATGAAAGGACAGCTGTGAGAGAGAAGTGGACATTTGGAATATTCATCATTCTAGTGGTTCACAGCAATGTGATCTGCTCCCTGCTGCTGCATTACACCACTTACCAATAGTGGTGTGATGCAGCAGCATTATAAATTGTATTTTTGACGCACAGATGATTCTATGCTTTGTCATACTTATACTGAAAATGTTCTGTAAAATCTCATAGCTCTGTGAATGAAGTTCAATAGTTGATATGTCTACTGTACTTTCTTGCTTTAAAATTTTACTTTGAAAAGTGTGAACACAGAGATTGACAGA